GTTTCATGTTTATTACCTTTCTTAAACAGTGGACTGACTTTAGCAATTTTCATTTGATCAGGGAAATTTCCTGTTTCCAATGAAAGATTGAAGATATGTCTTAATGGTTCAGCCAAAATAGATGCACCATCCTTAATCAGGCGTACTGGAATGTTGTCGTAACCACAAGCTTTCTTCTCGTCTAGAGCCAACATGTGGTCATGAACTTCCTTCATTGTGACCGGTTTCCAAAAAAGGGATTGCTCAACACTATTACTCAAATAATCTTCAAATAATGTGGGTACATTTGGTATTGCTGATGCTAGATTTGGACCGATGTTTACAAAGAAATCATTAAATTCATTGGCAATTTCAGATTCGGTTGTTAGAACTTTATCATTTCCATTAATACGCCTTATAAGTTTTTCTACCTTAGTACCTTTGTTACCTTTATTTCTCCCTGATATTAATTCATTTATGATGTTCCACGTTTTACTAGTGTTATTGCTGTTCTCAGCTAGCAAACCACTGTAATAATTTCTCTTGGCATTGCGAAGAACAGTCGTTAATACATTTCTGTAGTTCCGAAATTTGTGTACATCACTTACATCAAAATTAGATTTCCTTACTTTTAAAAACAATTTATATTTTTTTCGAACAGACTTCATTATTGATTTGGTTATCCAAGGTTTCTTATAAGCGCGTCCTTTGCAGCTTCTTTTCTCTTTGATTGGTGCATGTTTATTACAAACATTATTAAACAAATTAAGAAAAATGGAGTATGCCATGTTAACATCTTCACAGCTATTGATATGTTGCCATTCTTGCTCAGCAAGGTCATCTTTAAAGTTTTGTACATCATAGTTTTTATAACATCTGTAAGTTACAGTTTGTGGATAATGCAGCTGCTTCAAATTACATGGATTTTCTAAAATCATGAACACAGGGTAGTGATCAGAAATATCACATTCTATAACACCCGAGTGATTATCATACTTGTTCATATTAGTGTATATATGGTCTAATAAGGTTACAGACTCACTGGTTACTCTTGTTGGATATTTTATTTTCTGCTCCATTCCTACGCATTTCATCGCTGTTGAAAACCCTTCTGTTGTTCCGTCTGAACTTAATGAATTTATATTAAAATCTCCTATTATAATGGTATTGCGTCTGTCGACTTTAATGTCTTCTAAAACTGTGAGAAGACTTTCTTGAAACTCTTTAACATCTGTATTTGGTTTCCTATATAAAACACCTACCATCACCTTTTGAAATTCTCCATTGTTTATTTCAAACCAGATTGATTCTGTATGCTTCACTGTATAATCTTTCACGACATATTTCAAATTAAAACGAATATAAGCTCCTACCCCTCCTCCTCTTTCTCTACCATCCCGGCACTTTACCTCCAATAAATAACCTTCCATTTCCAAGGTCGATTTTTCTAAAACTCTCCATACTTCTGATAATGCAATTACATCGAATCTGAACTTAACGCAATCTTCATATAACAACTTTAAGGAATCAACATTTTTGTTTAGCGAACGTACATTTACATGGGAGATACTAATTGATTTTTTACCGTCAAGTGGCAATGTACTATCAAATGAATTTGGACATAACTTGTAAGAATGTGATACAGTGTTATCAAACATATTATTAGAATATTTGTATCATGAAAAAAAGGACATTATGAGGAGACATTACTCCAACAAGCGGAGTCTGAAGTTTCTGTATTCGATATTATCCAAACCAACTGCGAACAAGTCGTCAGGGGTTGAAATTATCTTAAAGGTATCATCGTTCATTTTGCAGACGATGTTCCCTGCCTTCGTTGATACAGATTTCACCTCTGTAGATTTCTTTGCTGCCATCAAGACAGCATAGCGAGTAGAGGTGAGGTCTTCGTTCACAAAAACCTGCCTAAAGGATTCCTTCCCCTTCAAGTGGAAACGCCCCTGGTAGACCTTGTCTCGCTACGAAAGATGCTACACTGACTCTATCTATCACTGTATCACTGAGTTTTAAAATACCCCTAATTTCACATGATTGCCGTTGTCCCTTAGTAAGCATATAATTTGTTTTCTTTAAGTTTATTGTCAACTTGTTAACAAAACACCATTTTCGGACTTCCAAAAAATTGATATTTACTTCATTCATATATATTTCTTTCTGTCTTTTACCAAAAGTATGAAATAGGTTGGAATCATCAGCAAATAATCTAAATTCAAAATATTTAGTAGAAGATGGTACATCATTAATATATAATAAAAACAAAGTGGGCCCGAGGACTGAACCTTAAGGGACACCATATGTTATCCTTCTCCTACTTGATATTATATCCTTGTAGCATAAGACTTGCGATCGATTTGAAAGGTAACTTTGAAACCATTGTAATACTATGCCTCGTATACCATAATTTTTTAACTTTCCTAAAAGGATTTCATGATCAATAGTATCGAATGCTTTCTTAAAGTGTATACAAATACCAAGCGTTTGTTTACCTTTATCCATTGATTTTATAAGTGTATCTACAAGATTTATCATTTATCATTAATTCAGAATGAATAATAGGCCAGGGGGTGTTTCACAAAGACAAGGATCGACTTCAAGTTGGACTTAACTATGGCAGGCCATTCATCCCACTGGTTGCTCTTACCACTGGTCTCGCAATTAATGATCTTTAGATAATATATTTCCCTTCAATAATAAACTATCAACAAAATGTAAATTCTGTAGATTTGGAACCATGATTTGAATGTCCCTTGAGAGACCAATGCCAGTAAATGGTGAGAGCAAACAGTGGCATGAATGGCCTGCCAAAGTTGAGTCCAACTAAAAGTCAATCTTAGTCTTTGTGGAACACCCCATGAGCTCCAGGAAGCAACCTGTGCTTGTACATGAGGTCCCTATCAAGGTAGATACAATATTAAATCGAATAGCGAAATAAATAAAAATCGATAGGTATATATACGAACATAAAGAAGAAGAAGAAGAAAATCAGGAGTTATCAGTCATGTATATCCAAACAGCCAAACTCACACACAAACACACAAGAGCAATACAAAAAAGAGAGAGTTCAGAGTAAGAAAATTAATAAAGGGAAGAGGTAAGAAAGAGAAAGAGAAGAAAATGAAGAGGTGGGAGTGAGACAGAGAAGAAAAGGAAGAGGTGAGAATAGGAAAGAGAAGAAAATGAAGAGGTGGGAGTGAGACAGAGAAGAAAAGGAATAGGTAAGAATAGGAAAGAGAAGAAAAGGAAGAGGTGAGAGTGAGACAGAGAAGAAAAGGAAGAGGTGAGAATAGGAAAGAGAAGAAATATCCTTCTCATTCAAAGATGTCATTGTTTTGAAAATGTAACGTTTTAATAGAGTTCTAAAACGGGAAAGTGTAGAGCTGGATTTAAGGTTATTGCAAATTTTATTGAATTCCATCCATGTACTTCTGTAAAACGGATAGAATGAGTTCATATATAGTTGAGCGGATAGTGGAAACCAAAGATCATCCTGTGTACGAGTGTGATACGTATGGAATGAATAATTTGTTTTAAACATAATATCGAAACAATGCAGGGAGAATACCTTAGTGATACTAAAACATAAAATGGGCACTATTATGTTTTACTGACAAGTTCAAACACTGGAAGAATGTTTAATTTAACAAATAATGATTTACTGGGACTACGAAAACCATAATTGCACGTTTTTGTAAATAAAATGTTTATCAATATTGATTAGTGGGTATAACATATCTTAATAGAAGATAATGATATTGTGATACTTGCAGTCAAGTGACTCATGAATTAGGATGCCTAAGAAAATGGGTGCTGATTCAAACGATTAGAGAGAGACAGAAGAAATGGCTTGGACACATATGCGGCATGATGAGGGCTCGATGCTCAAAGTCGTGGAAGGTCGTATTCATGGAAAGAAGAAGAGGGGAAGACCTCGTAAAGGCTTTCTAGACGATTTAATCACAGAATGTGGAGCAACAGGGTATGAAACGCTGAACCGGATGGCTCAAGACCGAGGAACTAGGAGAGACACTTGATATAAAATTTTGATCACTGAACCTTTCATAAACTGACAGATCACTATTGATGAAGAAAATGAATAACTCAGCTCTCTGAATAACAGTATTTTCAATTCGTATCTGGTCAGTGTTTGGCGAGTTTCTTTCCTTTTAGAATGGAATCACACATACTTGTTTTCTTAAAATTCAATCATAGTTTGTTACATCTGAACCAGTCGTTTAACATTTATAATTAGGTGTTCTGCCGCATAGCGTAGCTGAGCACTTATTGATTTCGTCAGAATCTATCTTTTTTTCTTAAGGTGATCTGGCGCGTAGCGTAGCAGAGCACTTATTAATTTCATCATAATCTAACTCCCCCTTTTTTCTATATGGATTTTGTTCGCATACAAAATACTTTGTTTTACCATATTAACAATGCTATTCGGGGGGGGGGGAGGGGCTCACTCGCCGAATTTACAATCAAATATGCCCGTACCAGTTTGGTATATATTTCAAATGACGCGTTCCAAAGTGATGCGAAGTGAACTTTCTGTGATTGGGGTGACGCTTTATTTCTGAAAAGGATGGTGTGACCCCCCTGATTTTTTTTTGGAAAAACACTGATCTAGTAGTTTAAATACTGGAGCAAACCCTCATGACTGAGCCCATGCTACGCCACTGGCTATGGCAGCCTTCCAGTCTGAACTGAGAATGGGCATTCCAGCATTTACGTCATCACTAATTCGTATTCGTATTTTTTGCCACACACAGTAAAATCAATACAAATATTAGGCAATTTGGGTCTTAGAATGCATATGGTAGAGAGTGAAGACATAACAAGAAATAAGCATTACAATTCTAATGATATGCACATTTTTTTTAAAATTTCAGACAAAGTGGCATTTCCATTTCTGCCCTCCAATTCCTGAGCTTGTTATATACGTGGCTGAACTTTTCTTGCTCACTTTTCTCCGCTAAGTTTATGCCTCTTTGGGTGACTGCATTATGGCTGAAAAGGGAGAACCACAGTTTCCTGAAAGTCTGGCGTGTCCAATGTGTCTCGAAGTCTTCAAGGCCCCTACTCTCCTAGCCTGTGGACATACATTCTGCAAGGAATGTCTGGACAAATACGATAAAAAGCACCGGGGTCAAGATTTCATGGAGTGTCCGCTTTGTAAGAAAAACACCAAGCTGGGTAAAAATAGAGTCGCAGGACTCTCACCGAATTTCTCTGTAAAAGGCCTCAAGGAGGAATTACATGTACATCTTAATAAGGTCAATGGCAAATCATCAGAGTACTGTTCCCTGCACAGTAAAGTCTACAAAGACATTCTGTGTGAGGTTTGCAAGGAATTCATCTGTCTGACTTGTTTGTTTGATAAACATGACGGTCACAGTTTTAAGAAGAAGGAAGAGTTTGTAGCAGAGTTGAACACGAATAGAGACTCTCTCTTTAAACAAAGTGAGGAGAAGAAAACACAGATCAAAAAGTCTATTACCAATGCTAAGCAACATATGCGTGTTATGAATTCACATCTGGATAATCTAGATAGGGAAATACAGAATTCCTTTCGTGAAAAGTCAGAAATTCTTCGGGGACACAAAGAAAGACTTTCAAAAGAAAATGACGACATCCGCCAAAACTCTAAAAAGGTAATGGCAGATTTCATACAACGCCAGGAACAGTCATTGCAGAGTATTGATGTAAAGAGCACTTTTATGGGACAAAAGGGCATCGCAAGTACTAGTAAGTTTTCAGACACTGACGCACTAAAAACACTTTACATGGGATACCTAGATCTGACAAAGGAATTGGATAGAGACGTCAACGACCCGTCTATAGCGCATGCGCTCCAAAACGTGGAGAAAACCTGGTTTCAACCATCTGATGAGAATGATCTTGACCTAGGTGATTTCTGGGAGGCAGCGTAACTTTCATCACGCCATGACTGATCCTGAAAGTATGCAGGAGACTTACAAGGAACTGATGTGGAGTAACTGACCCCCCCCCCCCCCCCCCAACAGCCGTACAGAGTGTTTGATATGACAAAAAAAATAGAACGTGTAAGCCTATACGAGTAAAATTGCCTTCATAGAGACAGTCTCTGTGGAAATAAAAAGCCCAATTGCGCGAAATCTCTTTTTCTCTCTTAATTCTCTTTCTTAATAGCTAGTTTCTCTATCTCTATCGTGTATTTGTCCTTATCATGCTTTATGTAGCGGTATTTATCTCTCTCTTCCTCGCATTCTCACTCGTTCTCTCTCTCTCGCTCTCTCTCTCTCTCTCTCTTCACTCTTACTCACTCTCTCTCTCTCTCTCAAATCTTTTTCGTCCTCCTTCCTGACTCTCTTTGTCCCTCTCATAACTTATTTATGTCTCTCTCCCACGGTTTACACCTCCAACTACACGTCTCTCTTTGTTTCTGAATAGAACAGTTCCCCCAATTTCCACGGTTTTAAAGTGTACACTGCTGCCTCTTAAAGGGATCCGGTAACTTTGTCTTAGATTCTGAAACAAAATTCTGGATTTAGCTCATGATACAATGATAATTATAAACCTTTAGGTCAGTCAGGAACCCCGGACTTTTAGAAGCCGATCGCCTGCCTGATTATCAAGATATTTATGATTGGAATTACAAATTTTGAAAACCGTTCGCCTGACGGTTTTCATAACACTACAGTCTATTGGGGAAAACGAGTATGGTAAAACCGGTCACTCAAAGATTTTTACTTTTTTGAGGCACTTCTTGATCATTTCGAAGCGCAATTTTTTTAGGGCTTCAATATTACACCATATCACAGACATTGATAACACGTAGGGCCGTGTATCTCAGATTTAACATTGTTACACGATCCCTTTAAAGGTAATACAAAGTTTTGGTATGGGGTTATGAATTTGGTTCAAATGAACATATTGGAAGCATATGCAATCCTACTATATTTAGTGATCGTTGTAGCGGTTGAAATCGAGTCTAAGTTATGCAATTATAAATAATTAACTCTTTATGCTGTATAGCTCCCTCTCAAGGTCAAAATATTAATTAAGCTATAAAACAATGTTTCTTGGCTAAAATCGACCGACTTGCTATTCCCGTTTGGAAATTAAATATCACAACTACATATTCAGAGATTTTCATGGTCCCAGCTACTATTATACGGCCGTAGGCGCTATTTGAAATTCATCAAAATTTACCGGGAGCACCGGTAAATTTGTATATTCTATTTTTCTCGAAAGCAGAAGTGTTTTAGGGGCTAAATTTTCTAGTGCTTATTACACATCCACAGGGGCATCCAAATATATCAAAATTGTAAAGAATCATTATCCACCCAATTTTCAAAATTTCCCAAAACTTTGTATTACCTTTAAGATCTTGAATACCGTACAGCAAAAAGAATAACAAACTTGCAACTCATTTTCGTAAATGGAGGTTTAGAATGTAATTTATTGTTTGCTGCCTGCATTATGCTCTGTTTAATGTTATGATATCTGTCGGTCCTATGTTATGTATTATGTTACTCTTTAGTTTTAATAAATGCCCAATTACCAATTATTTGTAAAAGTTGTGATTCTGTCTTGATTCAATGAAAGATAAAGCAACAACAAAGAAAGACAACATTATATCGACAATTCTATCTGGTAGAAAGATACTATCAAAGGACATGTTCTGGTACAGAAAAGAAAAGAAATAAATAGCGACAAAAATTCAACAAATTTGACAAGGCAAATACACCACAACAATGATCTGTAAAAAGGCGGAGGGAATATGGAACCAAACACATTATATCTGTTTGGAGCCAGAATGGAGTTAACTCATATACTTTAACACGTGGCCTATGCGTCTAAAATTCAAATGACACGATGTAGGTCTATTGCCACTTTAAATTTACAGAAAGTCAATTATCACATCTATACATGGATTAGTTTTTTTTTTTTCTTCTTTCATTTATATTCTAATCGTGGTAATCAGACACACTGTATGCAAATATTACATTTGAAAGCTCTACATGGACACATCATGAATTCAGTCTACTAGTAGAACCACATTGTTAAGCCTTAGGGTTGGTTTTAAAGAGGTATGGAGACCAAATCACTGGGGTCCAGCTTTGCTGTCACATGGCAATAAAATAGTCCCAAGATAATCCTCTTGTTTATTTAGATTTAATAGAAGTATATTCTGCAAATATGTGTATGATAAGAAATTAAGCAGAGCGTATTGCATAGATTTGCATTGTGATAATGTACACTGTTGGTCATAATGATGGATATTTATTTTTACCCCAGTTTAGGGAAGGATTTGAAAAAATTATTTATTTCTAATAGATCTAGATAATGGCATACATTCTCAGATTTTATTGAATATTAATTTGCGAGTGTTTGTTTTGCGTGACTGCTTAATCATATGTGTTCTTCTATGCTAATCAGATAAGGGACCTACGTCCTTAAGTCATAATTGACAGTAATGAGGATTAGTGCCTCACAAAAGGGCACTAATATATAGCTGATCGACACGATTTTTATCCTGGGGCCTCACAGTAACGAGGCCATTGCTTAGCCCCTGAATCATGACTGTACGCAGTGTTTGCTAGGGTACGCGGCCCCTTCCACAAATCCCCCAAAACGAAGAAAATGCAATAAATTGTCAAAATTCATTGCATTTCCCCCCGGCCCCCAACAGAAAATAATATTCGGTAGGGCCGTGCATTATGGTTCAAGGCATGGCCACATAGAGGAATTTTTCCTGTTGGGGGCCGGGGGGAAATGCAATGAATTTTTGACAATTTATTGCATTTTCTTCGTTTGGGGGGATTTGTGGAAGGGGCCGCGTACCCTAGCAAACACTGCGTAAAGTCATGATTCAGGGGCTAAGCAATGGCCTTGTTACTGTGAGGCCCCAGGATAAAAAATCGTGTCGATCAGCTATATTAGTGCCCTTTTGTGAGGCATTAATCCTCATTACTGTCAATTATGATTTAAGGACGTAGGTTCCCTAGCTGATTAGCATAGTAGCACACATATGATTTAGCAGTCACGCAAAAACAAACACTCGCAAATTAATATTCAATAAAATCTGAGAATGTATGCCATTATCTAGATCTATTAGAAATAATAATTTTTTCAAATCCTTCCCTAAACTGGGGTAAAAATAAATATTCCATCATTATGACCAACAGTGTACGTTGCGATAATGGCACACATTATTGTATAATACAAATATTACATTATATTATATTATTTTCTACACTACGAGTAGCCATTAAAGAGTGATAATGTATTTTGTTGAAAGTTACTCAGCATGGCTTTGTTTCATAGTTTGTTCAATGGATGATGACTAGTTTAGCTGTCAGACCTTACTTGCATGGTCAGAACACGTTTATTCGTCCGCAAATTATGTTATTGATATTTACAACCGTGTAATACAATACTATTATATTATGTACTTTGTGTTGTTTAAAAAGAGGATACCAGATTGTTGCAGGTAGTATTGGCTAAATTATCATACTATATACAAGTAATTGATATGTATTAAATCTTTAAGGGGTCGGCAGTATTAAGAGACGTTTTTGTTGTGTATAGAGACCCGTGTTCAGTGACTCCAATCAGTTATGAATTGTTGAGCTTGATCACAGCGAAGGGATACTCCAGGTATGATTTATTCTTTGTATGTGATGTTGAGAGACGATGGTTATATTTGTACTTTTGTTTTCATTTAAGCATAAGTATAAGTACCTAATCATCAATTGTATAGCAATGTTGATAATAGTCTTGATAGTTGATAATTATTGTGTATAGTTGCTCACTAATAGGAGTATGAGTCATTGTTGACAGTACACAGTCACATTATTATTTCTTTCCATTGTTGATTCATTGTCTATCTTTGTAGTACATGTAAATTGTCGTTATATGGTTAATTGTGGAGAAAGATGCATTAGCAGCCGCAGTTATACTAAAATGGTATCCGGAATATCGACTATGTCATTTTACTAAATACACTGTATGAAGTTTCTTCATTATCACGTCTTCAGATGTTCAAATTCAGGAAACGTTGTAATTATTCGGTTATTTCATCTGAAACGACTTCAAAGATTCTGATGATATTGTGGATACACAATACATATCAAATATTGTTGTTAATTGAAAAAAATTAGTACTCACACTCTAAGTTAATGTTCTTTTGTTACATATATATCACATAATTCCAGAAGAGTGACTGGATAGAACAGATAGATGTGAGGCTCCATCTTACAATGGTGGTTGTTCTGGTTAACCCTAATAAGGCCGGGGGGGGGGGGCATTATGCCCCCCCCCCCCCCCTCCGCGATTTTTCTGATTGTTCGGGAATGCATACGGATTACGCCCCGCCGCTCGCTGACTTTTCTTTCGAGTCTTGCGCATCCTTTTTTTTTTCTTTTTTTTTTTGTTGAAAATCGGGGGTACAGTTACAAGGTCACGTGACCTTTTGTCTTTGCATGTCAGCCCAAAAATCGCTCATTTTCGTGATTTGTGTACAAAACATATGGAAATGTCATTTTTCCTAAAAAGAGATAAAAACACTGGTTATTGGGTCTTGTTTAAAGTTTAGATGTTTGTTTTGGGAGTCAAAATAGTTGAATTGTAGTTAGAAAAAAAGAAAAGAAAAAAACACAATAAAATACAAAAGTTGAAAAAACAATGAAATACATAATACATGATCAAAGCAAGAGATAACATAAGGAATAACCTAGCTCTTCTAAATTTGTTGTCGTATTATTGTTTCAAATGGTCTAACGAATACATGTAGTGAAAAAGAATATAAATATAAAGAATATATGATTTATGGGTAAAAAGGTGAATGTTATGACCTCATTTGCATACATTACCATAAATATGTAAATGAGTGAATTTTTCAAAAAAGTTAATTTACCATAGTATTCTTTACACTTCACTTGACATG